TTAGGTATATTTGGTATCTAAGTCTCTGTCCACGTTGTGGACTAGTACGTGTGAGAAAGCACACGTGGTTCTGAACATTCTAGCAGGGAATGCTTCATAACACTCTCAGTGTGCTATACATTCATATTCACTCTCATATCTGTGATAGTGTCGATCGCCCTGCCAGTAAGTCTTACCTCGCAGACAGCAAGTCGGCCTCATCAGTGGGCACGTTGTATCACCACAGTTCATCACTGTAGGCTTTCACCCAGAGACCCTCAAGGGGACTCTTATTTTGAGTTGTCTATCTTTGTCATCGGCGTGCCATGACAGTGTAAGGGCATAGACGAGCTCACCACCACCACTGCCATTTAGGACTAGCAAGCCACCCAGGAGATGCCGGTGGATCAAAATATATCTATGCTCAACTGTAGCTAGAGTCTTGGTCTTTCTTCTACTTTGCGCTGTACTCGCTCTTGTCAATACATGACTTGATTCAGTTTACATCACGTGCGTAAGACCAACCTTATGCTCTGAGTGCCCGCTGCCTTTTTTGTGCATTTCCTTTCTATTTCCACTCTCCTACCTGCCCACCTTAGTTTCGCAACTTCCCAATTTATGGAACGTGCCAATTTTTTGCATCGAGATCATCTACAGTTGCCAAACTCACACTGCTGATGGGCTTGATGTGCTTATAGATGAATTTAATCGGACAGTTCTGGTCATCGCAGATGATTCTTGAACGATTTGGCAAAAGAGGCAATTGCTATATACAGAATATCTGGTTTTGCATAACAAACAGCTGGATGCACTGAACGTGAACTGTGCTGACCCAACTTTAGTGCGAACGTGACCTTGGCTCACATCAACTGTCAACCTCATGATTCAGCCACCTCCACGTGTCATGGGAGCTTTTAGGCATTAGCCATTCAAGTTTCTTCTTAAACAGAACTTGAATAATAAGTGGTATGGAGTTAGCCTTCATCGGGACAGTCTATGTCACATGCATGATACCTGCTCTCTTTCAATGAATCGGCCTATCTATCGTGTCAGGTGACATTCCCATTCAGCACAACACTCATGATTCCTTTAATGATTTCGAGCATCAATGCCCTACACGGCCTGTTCTGCAATTCACTGGCAGTGCTCAGATATGTGAGCAAAGTCAAGGAGATCACCCACTGATCCATGAAGGTGAGAAAGCTGTTGTTGAGTTTTATTGAGAAAAGGTATTTCCTACCTTCAAGTTTTACCAGTTGATCTGTCACAGTATTAAGTGGCACCTTTCTTTTTGCACCATTAAAATCCTCATTTGAGTGGTTATTCAGACACCAACCTTTATATTAATCTCACAAAGTGGATACTTGGACAAACAGCACAATACCACCACATACATTGCAGATATGACTATGTCTACCACATGACCACCAAGCGTCCATGATTCAGCCACCCAGTCACGTGACACTGGCCACTTGCCCTATTTAGAAGTTGTCAGAAGTTGATCACATGACACCAGGCCACTTGCTCAAAAAGGAACTCATTGGACCATTGTCACGGTAACACTGGACAAGAGATCAAAGAGACAAAAAAGGACAGTCACGTGGAATGTGCCGCCCTGATCTCCCTGATCCCAAAAGTATCCCCCTGAACCCTATGTGGTGCAAGAGCCTGTTGACTTACTGGTCAATGTGGCAGACGCAGGGAGGGGTGAGAGATATATGAAGGAGCTGGTGAGCTCAGTGAGTGCTATAGGTAGTAGACGAGGAGAAACAATCTGAGGTTTCGTCCCCTACATGGCTGGTCTTATATACACATACAGCGGGCTATCTTACCTAAGCTACCTATCTACGGGTATAAGCAAATGGCCATACATGAAACAATAGGATGTCCGGAAGTAGAACAATAAGTGGGAAGATCGATGGTTGCCGCAGTAATGCGTGTGCACATCGTGCCTATCTTGGTTTCCCTTTTGTTCTCCGGTGTGAACATCATACCTATCTAGGCTTCTGGCTAAACTAATAGGAAGTGGAAGGCTGATGCATAACAATAGTCCTTGTTCCCTTTGTTCCCAAATGGGTGCCTCTATTGTATCCTGGAATAGACAGGTCCGACCGTATCATCCACGGGTCTGGACCATAACATGTGATGTGGACTATCACCTGATCTTTACGTGTCGTGTCTGTGGCTGAGTGGCATGAGATATTGGTGAAGCACGTGATCTGTGGTGTGAGAAAAGTCACGTGCGGACTTTGTGGCGAAAATCTGTGACACTACCCCCCTCTCAAGGCTCATTGTCCCGAGGAGCCAAAACCTTTATTACCCCTTCTAGTTGCTCGCAACGGTTGGTAGCTTTGGGAGGGAAGCCCTTTTGCATAATACTCGAAGATTATTTGGGCTATTCTATCTCCCGGCTTGACCGAAAATACAAAATCTGTTGTGTTGATTAGTACGACCTTGAGTTCCCCAGTGTAATCTGGATCGACGACTCCTGCACCCACATCAATTCCTCATGCAGCCAGTCCGCTGCGTAGAGCTATTCATGTATAGGTATGTTTGGGAGGGTCAATCGTGACTCCCGTTCCTACCACAGCTCGTGAATGCGGGGGGATTTCATGTGTTTCTGCTGCATAAATATCCCATCCTGCCGCTTCATTTGAGGAACTTTTCGGTGATTTGGCGAGATCTGTCATCTTATGATATAGGAAGAACTCGTCTGGATGGTCGGACATATTGATTCGGTGTGTGGAGATCGGTGCAACTTCATATGAGGATAATTCGAAGCGTTTTCCACCAAAAGTGA